TCTCGTATACATCAGTCAGTCCTTCTGGTTTGTCAAAGACTCTTTGTTCATGGTCGACTTGGAAAGACGACCACGAAGTCTACCTGTCTGCAGAACCTACAAGGCTGAATTTTGTGAGATATGGTCGAGGGGTCACGAGCCAGGGAAAAATCCCATTTTGATGCTGCTGTTTTGGAAGCAAAGATTATTATCATGGGTTTGGTTACAAATTACATATTAAAGATGAGTGGACTACCGGCCTTGGAAGAGGTCTGCTATGACCACACAATGCAATTATAAACCCAGAATAAAAGCAGCACATCCATGAGAAATCTCCCCATCTCCTTACTCTCTTAGTAAGGATCAAGAGAGAAGAGCTACTGGAACAATTTCATGTATAATAAGATCGCAGAAGGAGCAGGGTGCAGAAAAATATCCACATCTAATGACTGCAGGATTCCACGTTAAAAGGCCATCGAAAACTCAAGATTGATTGGCTCTTTATGGTTGAGACTAAGCAGCACATAGGAGACGAGCCTGGATATTAAAAAGGAGATTGAAATCCAAGGACATGTAAAGGGAAAATCCTGATGACAAGTAGTCAATGAATTTGAGATGAAGCCATGAGGGAAACACAGCTGTATGACCAAACTACTCTCCTTTTTTAAATCCTCCAAAGCCTGAAGGAAAATGACATAAAAATAGGCAAACCATTCTCCCCGCAGAATGCATCCAGGCTGGGCATGTGACCAGAAATAAATTACACAAGAGTAAAGGTTTTTGTAAAGCACCAAGTGCCTCGTACGCTTATAAAGAAAAAAGATTCAGCAGCACTCGAGAAGCAAATAGGAAGCATATCAATAACCAATTTTACAAAGTGGAACACTTGAATTTTACTAGTAAGAGGCATCTTTGTACGAGTCAGGCGTTCTCATCGGATTCTAATTCAATCAGGTGATGAAGATCAGACTCTCAGCCTGGACGCCGCTACGCTGGAGACAAAGTTACCCTTTCAGAATAAAATACTTATTAAGATTTCAGCTTCTGACAGCACGTAAAAAGAAAAGAGTTTGGCGAAGATCTGCCAATTTTACGTCATCGTGGAGATTCGATATCTAAACGAAGCCCACTGGTATTTTCGGTCTCCCCACAGACACAGTGGTAGCCCACTCTCTGTTCCCCAAACGTTCTTTCCAGTTTTCCTTCTCATGAGCACGCTACCCGGTCATTCTCCCACTAGGTTACAC